TTACGAATCATTTATCGCAAAAGTAACCAAAGGATATTCAAATTGTTAGTGGCATTTTTTTATTTTTGGCAGAATCGGATCATCCAAACTTCTACCAAAATCAAGACATTCCAGATAGCTGCAGATGAATTGCTCAATTTCTGGTGAAACATCAAACCTTCAACTCTCATTCGAGACCTACCATTTTGTAGGTACGACTGGGAAATAACTGAAAAAATAAACAGTAAATCCGGCTAATGCCACGCTGAATCAAACACTTATGCAACGTCAAGATTTATCGTAAGTATTTTTCTCTAAATGGAAAAAAGAAGTTAATTTCGTTTCGTCGAAATGACCACCGCATACCGGTTTCGGAATGCCGGGTGGGTCAGTTGAGAGGATATTCCTGCTTGGAATTTATAGAAAGTTTTTTTTGTTCCTTGGGAGCTGTCTGACTTGTCCATTTAGTCCAAGTCTCCAGAAAACACTGCAGCCTCTTGGGCTTATTGCGTTTATTCTCCCATCTTCTTATGACACCCATTCCATCAGTCTAGTTCCCTGTACTAGTTTGTACAGGTTCCGTGTTGGATGTTCGTCATATTCTTCTGGACGTAATTTTGTACGTCCATATATTGCCTGTGATTCAGTGCGTCACATTCGCATAAGATGTGTAGAGCTGTTTCTATCCCTTCGTTGCATAATCTGCAGCTGAGGTCTCCGTTGTACAGCCCCTTTTATTCAGGTGTCCTCTAAGCGGACAATGGCCGGTTAGTAACCTTGTAATTATTCTGAGCCAATCCCTACTATATTGAAGTAGTTCTTCGGTTCTTTTCTCGGACGGTTCTACTGTGTTTGTTGCCAGGTACTTTTGTCCAGGACTCTGTGTGCTTCTTATTGGTCCATGTTCTAATCTGGTTTCGTACCAATGATTTTGGTATCCCCAGAGCTGGTTCAGGACCTATATATGAAGTTGATGATCCGTGTCTAGCGCATTCATCAGCTTTATCATTACCTGTGATTCCTGAATGCCCTGGCACCCAGTACAAAGTTCATTTGTTCCTGTTTGCAATTTCATTCAGTTCTTCATGGCATTCCCAGACCAGTTTTAATGTCACCTTTGGGTTTGTCAGAGCCCCTAGTGCGCTCTCGCTGTCTGTTAAAATATTGATCCGCTCATTTCTTTGAGGTCTCAATTTAATAAGCCTTGCACACTGCAAATAGCATACACTTCCGCCTGAAAGACGGATGTGTATAGGATAGCTGCAGTTTAAATTTCTATCCGCTCGGTATATTCCAGCTTCCGTTCCATGTTTGGTCTTCGATCCATCTGTATACCAGGTGTTTTTTCCAAACATGTTTTCGGGATGCTAATGGTCGTCCACTCTTCACGGCTTATGATTTTGGCCGTGAAGTTTGTGTTAAAGGTGTACTTTGGTGTCAGGTGGTCCGTGCACATATTCAATATGTGCTCCTCCAAATGTTCCGAAATTTCTATTCGTTCCGATCTTTTGTAGTTCGGTGAGTTTTCCAGTCTGAATTGGCCCATACTGGCCTTACCCATTATCACAAAGTGTAAAGGAGGTAGATTCAGAAGTGTCTCCAATGCAGCTGTTGGGGTAGTTCTCATTGCTCCCGTCATTTCCAAACATGCAAGTCTTTGCACCTTGCCTAGTTTGTTAATAGCAGTCGCCTGCTTCATCTTTGGCCACCAGACCAGAGATGCGTATGTTATCCTGGGTTTAACCACCATCATGTATAGCCAATATTCCATGTCTGGTTTTAGCCTCCATGTTTTTCCATAGGTGCGTCTGACGAACATCAGTGCTACCTCCGCTTTCCTTTTTATCCTATCTATGTGTTGGTTCCAGGTCAGTTCCGGGTGTGTCAGTTGAGAGGATATTTCTGCTTGTCATTTATAGAAAGTTACTTGCGATAATAGTATTCTTTCAACCGAAAAACGTTGCACAGTTGTCTGATGGCTCTACCTCAATATTTAATGGATTTGTTGTTTCTTCATCAAGGTGTAAAGGAGGTAGATTCAGGAGCGTCTCCAATGCAGCTGTTGGGGTAGTTCTCATTGCTCTCATCATTCCCAAACATGCAAGTCTTTGCACCTTGCCTAGTTTGTTGATAGCGGTCGCCTGCTTCATCTTTGGCCACCAGACCAGAGATGCGTATGTTATCATGGGTTCAACCACCATCATGTATAGCCAATATTCCATGTCTGGTTTTAGCCCCTGTGTTTTTTCATAGGTGCGTCTGATGAGCATCATTGCTACCTCCGCTTTCCTTTTTATCCTATCCAAGTGTTGGTTCCAGGTCAGTTCCGGGTGTGTCAGTTGTGAGGATATTTCTGCTTGTCATTTATAGAAAGTTACTTGCGATAATATTATTCTTTCAACCGGGAGACGTTGCACAGTTGTCTGATGGCTCAATATTGAATGAATTTGCTGTTTCTTCATCAGGGATCTGCTACTCGTACTTACAAGATTGTAGTTCACCCATGAGATGCTAATGCCCCGCTGAATTCTGATGTTTTATCTTCTTTTTGATTGCAAATAACCTTCTATTGATGATGGAAAGAATGAGTTGATTTTGTTTCGTCTGAATAACCACCGACATCTCGGTTACGGAGTACTGGCTCCTCATCAGTGCCAGGTGGAGTCACATCAGACGGAATTTCTGCTTCTCATTGCGATTAATCTTTCAAACGGAAGAAGTTTCACAGGGATCTAATAGATCTACTTCAACACTCAGTGTGGTATTGTCCGGAATTGTTGTTGTTTCTTCATCAGTTATCTGCTACTCGTACCTACAAGAGAGTAGGTCTCGCATAAGACGATAATGCCACGCTGAATGCTGATGTTTCTTCTTCTTGATTGCAAGTAACTTTCTATAAATAATGAAAAGGCAAAAAATTCATTCCATTTCGTCTGGATAACCACCGACAGCTCGGTTTTGGAGCACTGGTTTCTCATTTGTGCTAGGTGGGATCAGATTAGAGACAATTTCTGCTCCTCATTCACAGAAAATTAACTTGTGATGAATATTTTGACGGAAGACTTTGCACAGGATCTACTTCAACATTCAGAGTGGTACTGACCAGATTTCTGTTTGTTTGAAAGTAGGAAAATGGGAATCATCTGTATACAGAAAACCCACTCACACGAAACAGTATCTGAACCAGAAACCCAACTACCATCAATCGACTAAGAGAGGAATCATCAAGACTCTAGTAGACCGTGCTTTCAGGCTCTGTAATACAAAGTAAGGTCTCGAGAAGGAAGTAGAGGCATCAACAAAAATGACCTTCAACGGAATAGTTACTTCAAATTGATGGTGGAACAGCCTTTGGCTAGAAGACATAAAGAGCCTCACAAGAAAGAGGAGCCGCCACAGCCAGTACTTGTACTTCCCTACATCAGAGGATTGTCGAAAAGGATAAGAAGAATTGGGTCCAAATATAACATCAGAACCTGCTTCAGATCTGGGAACACTATCCGTAGCAGCCTCACGAAAACCAGGTCACCAAACGCGGACTGCAATTCCAAGAATTGCATTTACCGGATACCCTGCGAGTACGGAAAATCATAATTCAGTATAACTAAAAGGCCATTGAAAGTTTGCATTGCCGAGCACAAGAAACACACACAGCGAGGAGAAACCTGCAAATCAGGAATAGCAGAGCATGTTTGGACTCATCAACATAACATCAAGTGGTCTCAAGCTGAAATTATCCACAAGGATGAACACTGGTTTAGGAGAAAATTTAAAGAAGCCGCATATATGTTGTCCAACAACGCATTTAGCCAAGCTAGCGTAGAGATACGCAACATATGGAAACCTATAAGCAAGCGGAACACGACCAACTTCCGCCAAGCGGTCAGCTCCCACTAAAACCGATGACGGTCTGAATAACCACCGACATCTCGATTACGAAGTACTGGCTTCTCATCAGTGCTAGGTGGGGTCAGATCAGACAGAATTTTTATTTCTCATTTGCAACAAGCTACTTGCGATGATTCTTTTAACGGAAGACTTTGCACAGGTGTCTAATGAATCTACTTCGACATTCAGCGTGGTATTGACCGAATTTGTTGTTTCTTCATCAGTTATCTGCTACTCGTACCATTAGCTGGTCTTGCTAATGCTACGCTGAATGCTGATGTTTCATCTTCTTGATTGAAAGTAACTTTCTATAAATAATGAAGTAAACTTCATTGCATTTTGTCTGGATAACAACCGACAGTCCGGTTTCGGAGTACTGTCTCCTCATTAGTGCCAAGTTGGTCAGATCAGTCGAAATTTCTTCTTCTCATTTATAGGAAGTTACTTGCGATGAACCTCTTACCGAAATACGTTTCACAGATGTGGTTCTTCTTCAACATTCAGCGTGGTAGCTGGATTTGTTGTTGTTTCTTCTACAGTGACCTGGTACTTGTACCTACAAGGTATACCATGTAGGTATACCAAGGTATACCAAGGTGTAGGTATACCATGAGATGCTAGTGCCACGCTGAATGCTGATGTTTCTTCTTCTTGATTGCAAGTAAATTTCTATTAATCATGAAAAGAAAAAGTTGATTTCACTTCGTCTGGATAGAAATCGACAGCCCGGTTTTGGATTACTGGCCTCTCATTATTGCCAAATGAGGTCACTAGATCACTAGAACAATCGCGAAGCGCAAATCGAGTTGAACAGGATCTTGGTCAAGTCACAATCAATTCACGGCGCTCAGCGGTGGCTGGTGTATTTTTTTTTTCAGGGGATAATTTACAACAGTATACTTGAGCACGGTGCTTACTGCTCACTGTTTATATTCCCTTTCATTTTATATTGAATATTGTTAATTGAGAAATTAAAATTTAATTATCAATAAAAATAACATTCTCTGAATAGCAAAACTCACTTGAAAAATACTTTTTCATTACCTTTCCATATTATTTCAAAAGTAATCAATATATCTTCTAAAACTTCAATTCCTGAATCTTTTTTTTTACTGATTACTTTTTTATTCTAGTGACCATGAATACGAGCCTGTGAACCCACCGCCGGAAAACGTCGAAATAATCCCCAGAGTGAAGATATCCGAGAACCCCACAGTTTGCATAATAAATAGCGATCAAATATCCAACAACTCACAATCGTACAACTTCGCAGAAGAGGAGGCCTACAAGCAAGACCCAGCCTTCTTACTTAAGTTCCAGAAAAACAGCAAACTGGTGCACAGTCCATCTACAAAACCAAAAGAAGATCAAAGTCAGATACCACTAGGAGAAGAAGCCTACATGCAAGACCCGGCATTTTTACTTAAATTCCAGAAAGACAGCAAACAGGTCCACCGATCGGGATCGAGAGAAGGCCCGAGCAAATTCCAACAAGCCATAAAACAGCGAGCTGACAACTTGAAAGTCAGGCTACACAATATTAAAAAACCTCACTTATCCCTACCAGAAAGGCCAAAATTTCACAAGCCAAACTTCCAGAAATTCAATTTGCCCAAGTTACCAGAGAGCGCCAAGATAAACTTACCATCCTTCAATTTGCCACGACGAAACAATGCGAAACGGTCTGTGAGGGAGCGACACCTATCGACGGAATCCAATGACGGAGATTCCAAGAAACCTATCTTCGACTTCAGCACCTATCCCAGAATCTTCAAAAAGAAACCAAAGGATCAAGATCTAGTCGAAGAGGACATTCCGAGTTTCGCTACTGTTCCAAGAAAGAAAAAGCCCGACAAGCCTAAAACGGATGACAGTAGATGGAGCGCGGGTAGCGATTCCGTGAGAGTGCCTCTTCACTCGGAAGATTCTATGGATGCCGATAATGGAGTGGATAATAACAAGGAATCCTACATCCGCGGTGACTCGATTGAAGAGAACGAACCATCTCATATCAGATACGACGAAGATATCGATAGTGACGATGCGTACGATAGGGAGAACAGGGAGTTGAATAGAGAACGAGATTTTTTGAAGAGGTGGGATCAAGGTACGTACAATGCAGAGGACCACGAGTACATCGAAAACATGAGAAATAAGCAACCTAGAATAACAGACCTAGACTCCCCGGAAGAACCACAGGAAAAAGACTACCCCCACTTCCAAGGAAATAACAACGGGGAACACTACTCCTCGGGTAGTTCGCAAGGCATGCATAGACAGGGGGTCCTAGAGGAGATAAACCCTGACGAGTTCTTCTTGCGGCAGAAAGGAATATCTCAGGACAACATCGAGGTGGGGATGTACCTCAGTTCCGAGATACGAGAAGCTTTTAGAACGCCAGTGAATGCTCTATCGCAAATGCAGGGAAACAACGTCTTCGAGCTGAGGGATTCCAATCAGTCCCTGCCGGAAATGCCTGTTAAGAGAAAGTCTCTGAAAAAGCCGAAAAGAAAGAAGACTCCTCACACCTCCCAGGAAAAAATAATCCCTTATGACGAGGAATCCGCAGAAGATGAGCTCGGCACTTTTCCACCCCCTAGGCCAACTCGTCGAAGCAGGCGTTGCAAGAAGCACAAAAACGCAGAAGATCTCATCCCCTACCAAGAAACGATATCATTGGATATCCCTGATGACGGTAGACTGGTCCAGCACCGAGAAAGTCTAGGGATTCTAGGTGACGACGAACAAGACGAAGAGGTGACAACCTACGAGAATGAGAAGATGAAGGGGAAAGAACAACCTGACATCAGTATTACCGACCAGTATAAGAACTTCGAGTTCGCTGATGAGGAGGATGTTATGGAGGATTTACCGTCAGCTCCTCCGCGGAAGCAGAAGAGTTTGAAAAGCTTGAATATGTCAGAAAGTGATTCGATAATGGGCGACTTTAGTTCCAACAGAGCTATATTCAGTTCAGAAACGGATATCCACGAGCCCGAGGTTAGTACATTTTTTAAATAGTATGCGGTATGCGTCTCTTATACAATTTTCGATGAAATGCAGAACAAACTATTAGGCAGTCCTTGTGGATTTAAAAAAAACTCCGCTACTCCAGACCTGGATGGGGTGAACACTTATTGATGGAAAAAGCTATTTAATACCCATCAATTTTTGGTCAGTTTATAATTCATAGCTAGATGGAGAACAACAGGTTAGTTCGTTGAGGAGCGATTCGTTATTATCATTCAAAACGAAGATTTGTTGATTCCAAAGAGTTATAGACCCATATCCACTTTTCACCATAGAGTTTCCGTCGAAAGTACTCTGGATTCATGTAGTCCTCGAACATAGTCAATGTTTATTCCTGTCTTATCCCTAATAACTTGGTGAATTTCCAAGCTTAATGGACACACTATCGTCTTTTCGTTATTGCAAAATGTAAAGGGAGTGGATTCAGGAGTTACTATTATCAGGCAATATATTGTGTCTGTTTTCAGTCACAAATCTCATGAGTATGACTGGCCAGCATCAGAGTGTCCCATCCGGCTTTCTTTTTTATCCTGTCTAAGTGTTGGTTCCAGAACGGTCTGGGATCTATAGTATCAGTCCCAAATATTTGACATCCCCTGGTAGTTGCATTTCTTTGCCACAGGGTCCTTCTATCTTGGTCCTCTTTGTAAACGCTACTATAATCGATTTGGATGGGTTTCTTCCTTGGTTCATCTTATAGTATTCAGGATCTGCTGCATGCGTCCCTTCACCACATATGCTCTGGAGTGGAATGACTAAGTCATTTGCAGTACTTTACATCCATTATGATTCAGATGACGTAGTAATTTCATTACAAGGCTCCATTACAAGGGCTGTATTCTAGGATGACTCGCTTAGCCACATTCAATGATATTGCTATCATCCGTAGACCGCGAACTTAGCCTTTCCATTTATATGACTCAATGGAAAAGAATATTCTTCATCAGTGTAAGAGTACGTACATAAACAAAGAACCAAAGTTATACTCACTTATGAATATCATAATGATATATGCAGAAATACTACTTTGAATCATTAATCTCTCTTGGAATTAGTTGCTAACAAAAAAAGATTTAGACACCTTCATGGCAGAATCTACCCCTTTATGCAGCATGCGAAGGAAAGTTTCATGAAACACTAAGAAAATTGCCACTAAAAAGTACAGCTATTTTAGTATAGTTGTCAAATGATCATTGGCAATGCCCTCTCTTATACGAATGCTTCAAAGGTTAAAAAAAACGTGTTTTTTTACAATATATCGATTGTTTATATCACCAATCGTCATTGCCATCATCCAAAGAGATTGTGGATAGCAGCAATCGAAAGGTAATGAAGTACAGTAGAATCTCACAAATCCGGCACTATTAAATACCAGAGTGTGCCAGATTATTGAAATGTTCGGATCACTGGATTATAGAGAAAAAATTATAATGAATAAAATAGTGTCTTGTGTTTCCGTTTAACTGACGTTTTTAACTACACACTATCCTCACTTTAAATCAGCAGGTGAATACGTGCACGTGATAAGTTTTGAGGTTATACTGCTAGACGACGGCGCGGCGACAGAGCGCATAGGCGTAGAGGGGCGACGGAGCGCATAGGCGCAGAGGGGCAACGGAGCCCATAGGCGTAGAGAACAGGGAGGCGCGGGCGAAAGATGCCGGATTATTGGACGTATTGGTCTACTGAAGTGATGGATTAGTGAGATTCTACTGTAACTAGATTCAAGTCCGATTCCCTAACATTGAAGAAGAAAAATTGTCAGCCTCTTTCAAATATTTCTCAACTATTGAACGGGTGTCATGGGAAAAGTTCATCAAAACTATATTTTCCTCGTCTTTTACAATATCTATGTTCTACCATACTCACAAACATAATCTTGTTCTCTCCATAAGGTACACAGATTTCGCGACATTTGTTTCGTTGTGTCCCTCTCCCAATAAAAACAATCGTTTCTAAGTTCTAACCATTTACCCTTTTTTGGGATGATTCTAATTAATTTTTGTGACATTTTTTTTCATTGTCAACCGACATTGATTGCTGTGGTCATTAGCCTATAATGCTAATTATTTCCCGAGTCATCTCGGGAGCATTAATTCTTCAACTTTTTTACGACTGTTTTCCTTAATATACTTTTTTCACTTATCCATCATCCGTCATCTTTCATTTTCTTGAAATGTCAAAACGTTAGTTGTCCGACGTAACTGTTAACTTGTCGCCAATATCGTTGTTCCTTCAATATTCTTCTAAGAAATATCATCTCCGTCGCATGGAATGTTTTGTCTTGTTCGTTTTATTCACTTGCTTGTGTACTACCAAATAAATTTGCACTTAATACAAAATCATTTCTATCGAATTGCCTTCATTAGCTGTTGATGCGAAATATGAAATGGCGTTTACAGTTTACTATAATATTTTCACGATGAAAAGTTTTACAAAAACCGCGACATGAAATCGTTATACAATAGCTTCTCATAGTAAACTGTATTTGAAGTTTGTATGGGTCAGTTCCATTCAAATTTTTCAAAACACACTCAAGAAATCTATTTATCTCAAAGATTTCCACTAAGGATATAATTTTTTTCGATTTGATTTCAGATAAAAGCAATACGGACAGGATCAAAAGTAATAATACCAATAGAAACCGTAGTTCCGACAAGACCTTCAAGAACACTATCACGAACCAACTCCCAATCCAGAGGAACTTTCCAGAAGGACGACGAAAACATATCTCTCAACACCGAGTCCTTAGCGTCAGAAAATCAAATCCCCTGTGTGGAAGAACCGTGCTTGAAAGATCTGAGAGACTCCATGGGGTACGCCATAATCGACAAATCGAAAGCTAGAGACCCTCCGTTGCCTCCACCAAGAATTCCAACCCGACGTAAGAGGTCATTTAGGAATGAAAACGATAGAAATTTCTTCACCGTTCCCAGGTCATCTCGTAATGGAGACACCCCTGTCAGGCCTCTGAGAAATTACAGTACATTGGGACATACCAAGAGAGGCAGCGTCCGCTCAAATACCTACGAAAACAAAGAAAATATTGATATCAGCCAATATATTGAGATTGAAGATGAACCTAATAGAGACTTGCACTCCGGTGCAGTCATAAAAAAAATGAAGGACCGTCCATTGCCACCCCCTCCTAGACCTCCGAGAAAATCCCGACCTCTCCGTGACATCACTTCACAAGAAAATATCAGAGCAGAGTCTAACACCGAATTAGATAAAGTCACGACAGAAGAAGCCGAAGTATCGACTCAAACAGAACCTCTTCCGGATGATTTCATCTGCGAAGAAGTGGTTCAAGAACCAACAGATACAATCATTATTCCTACAAAAAATCAAGATACTCTGTTTCTTCCGGATAATGTACTAGACCAGATCGTACAAGTATCAACTCCTGAACGAAAAGCACCTCTAGCAGTTCTCGATGATCAATTAGATCAAGAAACAATTTCAAAACCGATCAATTTTCAACAAGAGACGAGAACAGATAAAAGCATATCTGGCCAAAGCAATCAAGTCATTTCCAAGGAAGGGGTGAAAGAAGAGGTAGAAACAATCATATCAACTCCTAGAAGAGAAAAACCTACCATAGAAAGACGTTTAATCACGCCAACAGTCTATTCTTATGAAGAAACCGTCACACATGGGTCACTAGTGGTTCAGCCTCTCGACGGGGCTAAGTTACTACCAGATACTGAAATATCCAACATGAGAACCATACCAGTTCACATGGAAGATGACTTGGAAGAAACTTCCTCTATCCCTGAAGAGTTCAATAAGCTCACAGATCCTTCCCCGGGATTGAATCCTGAAATACAAATACAAAGTGGCGTCAAACCTAGTGAATTCGACGTGCTCAAAGCTCATAAGCTGCAAGTCTCCGACTTGGATGTTGATAAATTAACAGTTAGCAAATTACATGCGGATAAAATAATAGTATCGGAAATTGACAGCAGCAGTATCCAAACGAATGAAATTTCATCCAAAACGGGTGCGCTGAAAGTTGGGGAAATCACTTTACCCCCTGAAGTGATTACACAAATAATAGAAACGATAAAAAGCAGTCAAGTGGAAGAGTCAACAAAATCGGAGGTACAAAAAAAAACTTCGATTTCAGAAAGTCCTAATATGACTGATGAATCTCCTGGTGGATCTAGAGACCCATCTGAAACGATAATTGAAAGCCCTGCTGATATACCTGAGACTTTTAAATCACCCAAGGTTGAGTCGCCAGGAGTCTTAGAGGTACAAGAAGGTCCCGCTGAAGGGTTCATCGATCCAGTAAGTCCTTCTGGGCAACTTCATGCACAGAAAAGTCCTCTTGAAGAATTAAGTGTCGAAGAGAGTTTCTCAAACGAGGCAGATCTACAAGAACGCTCTCAAGAGAGCCCTTCCAGAAAAATATGTGACTTAGAAGGCCTTAGTGGAGACCAAAATGTACCAAAGGATATTTCTGAACACTTTGATGTGGAAGAAAGACCTTCGGAGGAAGTGAATGTACAGGAAAAACCTCCTAACGACATTTGCACCCAGGAATCTGAACATGAAATGTTAAATGAACCAGAAAGTTCCCCTAGAGAATCAAAAGTACTGGATTGTCCGCTCGAAGAGTATTGTCCAAAAAGCAGTGTTCTTGAAGATCAAACAGTTAACCAGTTTTCACGTGTTGCAGCTAATATTGAAGAACGTCCTCCAAGACCCCCACCTAGATACTCTGATACAACAGAGAACATTAATGTGTCAGGAAATTTTGCTGAAAACCTAGATGTACATGAATCTCTTCCAGAAGAACATGGCGTTCAAGAAACACCTCCAAAGCCCCCACCTAGATCTTCCGACGCGAATTCTTTCCGCAAAAGAACTCCTCCTCCTAATCGTCCCCCTCGAAATTCAGAAAAACTCAGAACAGGCTCCAGCTCCACCCAAGAAGAATCTCTGCAAGAACCGGACGTGGATGACGTTCCCCCTCCCCGACCTCCACAGCCTCAGCTGGAGTACATCCCCTCACAACCTCCCGCAAGTTTTTACGCCCTCAGAGCGCAGAAATACGTCGATACCCACGGTGAAAGCATTCCCACTGTACCAAGAAGGAGAGGACACGCGAAATCTAAGCAACGGTCTAGATCTAGCTCAGAGGAATCTTCTGTCGTCACTCCTCCTTCAAGACGGTTTCACAGGAGATCCAGCGACCTTTCCATCGCGACTCTTTCGGGTCAACTCGTTCGGGTGTGCGGCGCAGAGGTTAACAATTCACTGAGAAGACTGATAACGTATATTCTTAACAATGTTGTGAGGAATGAGGACGGCAAACAAGACTTGAATGTTATGATAATGATAGTGGTGGTGTTGATTGCTGGACTGATTTTGTTGGGTTACGGGGACGAAAAGACTGTTGTGCATATGCACCATTGGGAGTATTTTAATCCTCCTGGTGACACGTAACCCTTCCCCTCTCTTTCGATTATAAGAAAGTTGTTTGATTGTTTTATAATTAAGACGAGAAAATTATGTTCATACAGGAGTTATAGCTGATAAGATATGTTGAAAATAAATAACCAAAAAACACTGTTGGCATTTTCCTTCAACTGAGGCATATAATATGATTCAGAAGGGTTGTGAAAAAAGTAATTAATTACAAATAAAGGTGATTCAAGTGTATTTTAATGTAGTGATTTATAGGATTTCTAAATGTTGCCTAACAAGTAAGTGGAATCAGGGATAAAATAATTTGTAGAGGGTGTTTATTAAATATGTGGGAAAAAACAAAGGACTATTCCTTGAAATATTTTGTCCTTAGATCATTTTTGATAGGGCGCTTTGTTTTGAAGATAAGAAGCGAAAAAGGATTCCAACAGTAACAATTTATTACCAAAAATTACATTCAATGTGTCTGATTGCGTTACACCCAGAAATTATCCGATTTCTCAAATCGACCACACTTTCCACTGGAGTAGTATAAACTCTCATCAAAGGAAAAAATATCCTTCTTCTTATTGTAAGTACATAGGATTTCACGGCCGTACGGGATTTTATTCTCTTTAATTGTGAGTCCAGCTATAATTAAAGAGGCTGAGATCGAATGGAACCTAAAGTAGTAAACGTTTCATTTGCTACTGCGGTAGACCTCATCAGTGGTATATCTGTAGTTTGATAAATTTTTTGTTTGATCAATTATTAGGTATCTTTTTATGGAGAAAAGCTGAGTATATAAATTATTTTCAACATAATTCCATCTTATTTGCTGAAAATGATTTATGAATACAAATTATCTTTACGTCGCTTCTCTCAAAAACAACATGAGTTTTGACCCCTAATTGTATGAAGAGAGAGCCAAAATGAGGGCTAGACATGAAAATTTGGGTTTTTGTTGAACTTCTGGAAGCTCTAAGATATTGAAAAATCTCAGGTAGGTACTTAATGAAGTTTTTAAGAATAACATGTGGTACACAAAATGATTAATAACTGCTTCCATTCGAACGATTATCAAGGCTGTAATAATAAAATAATTCACTTAATGATCATCAACGTACCAAAACTCTGGAGTATATAAAAAAAAAGAACTTTGACTTTATGGTATTGTATGAACATTACACATGAAAACATTGCTACAAAAAATGTAGGTCCGTATTTAAATTCAAAAGTTCGGGTACCTCTAGTTAGATGTATAATAATTCTATGAACATATTCTGATGATAGTCTAATGTCTAATGGCTATTTTAATGACAAAGTTGAAACAGATTCCTATTATCAAGTGAAGAAGATACAGCAAAAAATAGAATTTTGAAATTTTCGGTTATTTCCATTAAACTCTAAAAATAAAAACGCAGAGTACCTGAGAATAGGCAACTTTGCCACAATTAAACCCATTTTCTCAAAATCGAAGAGCCCTGTATATAATTTGAAACTTGTGAAGAGCTTAGAAAGTAGGAAGTTCCAAAAATTAAATTTTGAGTGAAAAATCGACTAGATATAATTATATAGGCGAGGAGACAATATTATGAATATCCTTAGAATAAATTGATAGATGTAGCCGTTACTACGTGGTAGGAGATTATATTGAACATTGAGAACAAAAACATCTTATGTTTTTATACCACTTGTATTTGTAACTAACGTTACTTCAGTTTCGTCCTATACGTACGGTTTATTATATTCGTTAAAAATACAAAAAGACGCAAAAGACAAGTAGTATAAAAACATAGGAAGTTTTATTTCTCAATTTTCATCCTTGAAATATGCACTAAAAAGCTTAAGCACATAAGCTAGGAATATATATTGTATATATATTGATATTCTTTGATGAAAATATATTTCATTCATCATCAGGAAGCTAATAGGTAACAGCAAACAATAAAAAACATCTCAACTTATGCACGATACACTCATAACGGTATGTCGACGCGCATCTCTCTGTCCGCTCTGTCCTGACTTGTGACGTCACTGCGAAGCACGGAGCCGGACAACGCACAATTCATTAGAAGGAGAATGAGATTCGGTCGAAAATCTCCAGGCATTTTCGCATGAAAATGGAATTATTAGTCTTGATGCATAAATACATACATGTTGATTTTTTCAGAAGTAGGTATAGATATTTGTTTACTGAGTCTACTGAGTACTAAAATTATGAGTCATTTTCTCACCCTATTGATGAAACCGAGGGTGATACACACTGTGATGATATTTCCGACTTTTGACAATATTTTTGACAAATTCAATCGGCTAGGTAATAAAATACATATTTTTTGAAGTACTTTTGTTTTCAAAAAAGATAAATTGCACATGGGTCAAATTTTCCATATTCTAATTATTTGAAGTAACAAGACATATGACAACGAGCTACAAAATGAGGTAGAAGCTATTTTGGTAATTCATCGAGTTTTCTTTCGTTGATTTACGAACTTATTAATTTTTTTTCCATCCTGTTTTTCAAATTATGGAAACTTATTTGTTTGTTAATCTCCCGCAATCTTATATAGGTCCTTGTTCTGATGCTGAGTGTTTTCCCAAAATGAACCAACGCATTCTATAAATGAAATCCAGAGGATTTGAATGATCATTAGATGACCCTATCCCTCTCATGTAAGAAAAGAAGTTTTCCAGAATATCCTGATTCAGTCGCGTAGTAAGAATATATTGGACATCAGAGTGCCTCTTCTGAAGATAAAGGAAGACCTCAACAATTGATCTATTACTCAAAAGTATACCTTTCTGAAACTGAATCAAGGATTTATGTTTTCCCACTCGTAGTGTTTTAATTACATTGGAAGTTTATTCTAGTACTTTTTTCTGATCCTCTAAATTTATACCAAATGCGTTTTTAGATGGTTCGTTAGCCCTTATTTTCGTTTTCGAATTCATAACGTCAAACCATCTGTTAATGAGCTGAACGAAGTCTGATACTTGTTTCCACAATATGAAACTGCCTTCGAAACAGAATTAGAGAACAGTTGCACTGCTGGCCTAACTTTTTGTCTTTCAGTTCCCTTCAATTCGATATGGTACTTGCTGACTTTATGTACTATAGAAAGCTCTGATGTAGATATATCCAGGAGACTTTCGAAACAGGATTTATCCATAAATGTACCATTTAACCAAAATCCTTGATCAATGAAGTGATTTATCAATAACTTGATTAGATGAGGTACATCGACATGTTCAGGTTGTTCTATCTCTTCAGTATTTAATTGTAGTGATGTGGAAACACTACCTTCATAATTTTCCAATTGTTGCTCTGGTAAAAGAGTGGATTTTCTTCTTTTAGCAAAACGAATTGTTCTTTCTGATTCTTCAGTTTGCTTTCTCTTAAATAAGAGGTTCAGAGTGGGCACAGCATCAGTTTTCAAAATACGGGCGTTTTTTGTTGAAAAAGTACCATATTGCTCTTTGACTGATAAATCTTCGAAACAATCTTTATGGAAATGAATAGAACAAATAGTATGCTGAAAACCATTGAATACCTAATAAATTATATGTCATCATTGCTTTCCAAATTGATGTTGTCCTTCCTCCTACATGCTGAAATCCATTGCTTAGACAGTTCTTTGCTCTTTGGGAATCGAAAATACTTAATATTGGTCCCTTTTGTCACTCTGTTGTAATTATTACAACCAAAAACCGCACAACCAGGCACTCTTAGTTATATACCTGCCTACTCTTATTATTGAAGCTTCGAATACGACACTAAATTGACAAAAGCTAATTAAAAATGTTTGAAAACCACTCTTGACAATAATTTCGTAATAATTCTTAAACTTCACAGCACAACATAGAACTTGTGAGAAATTCAAATTGAATTTAGGCAAGTCTACGAAGTTACAACCCCGATATGCTTTGCACTAACGTCATCTGCGCGAACTGGACGCGTTTGGAACTAACGAGTAGCATACCGTTATGAGTGTATCGTGAACTTATGGTTACAACCATTGCTATTAGCAATACCTTGACCTTGTCTTTAGACACTATATATCTATGTATTCGGTTTTACCGAAAGTTCATGAAATAATTCGTTTTTGAGTTATCATCTTTTATTTTCAACCCATATTCCTCATTATCCAAACTTGTCTTCACTTTCAATACTCTCTCTCGCAGGTCACCTTACATACGTACCCCCGTGCGAGAGTAGACATCAACTTTTCGCCACCCTAGCACAAATGTGCATTTTTATATAGTGTGTCATATCGAATTATTAACATAACTTGTAACGTAATAGTTGGATGGGTTTAGAGTGGATCTGAGATATAAAAGTGAGTGTAATTTTGCTATCCTTCTAGACCTACCTCTCCTCCACATCTTCCCGGAGAGACTCCAGATGGACGAATTCAGATGTGTGCAAATTGCACAAAACAGGTTTATGTGGTGCCGTTATTGAAAGTCACATCATTCTGGGTAAGACCTCTGACTCAATGCCTCCAATTGTCAACTACGAACTGCCTCATACAGTCCATTTCCCGAGTAGAGAGGATTATTAACATGTGAATGATAACAAGTCACAAAAAACGAGATATTTTGGATTCCTTTAATAAATCTTAGTGTCAGATTAGTCAATTGTTCAGAAATAGTTCCGAAAACATAAATTCTATGATCACAAAAATATTCAATAAGTAGAATTAATTACTTCTATAATTAATATGTATAAAATTTCATCAATCAGAATTTTCTCACCAATTCCATGAAAATATTTAATATTCTTCTCAAACAAAAAGTATGAGAAATATGATTGGTCTATGGGTCTTCAAGAGATTGTTTTCTGCTTCCTAATCAAACATGTCATCATATGTAACCAAGTTCCTCTTATCCCTGTGATTTCCTTTCTGAGAGTGACTGGATGCTGCAAAATAAAGAAGAGCATGCAAATTCATGAAATCTAAACAGTAAGATACAAAGTGCTATGAAGTAAAACTATAAAGTTAGAGTGAAAGAAAAATCTGAAATTAATAATAATAAGGTTTGATGAGCATTATCCCGAAAGTACATATAAATCAAAACAACAAAGGAAAAGAAGAATAGTAGTATCAGACAAATTTAATAGTGAAACTTAGCCAACAAACGTTTCAACCTAAAATCTGATAAATCTTTCTATATGAAAGTTACAAGTTTCATCATATAGTTTCAATAACATAACTTGGACTGAAGGACAATGAACCATTTTATAATAATAATAATAGTTTATTAACCATTTGTTGGTAAGCTAGGTACGTATGGTAGGTCCTTATAGTATAATATTACAATTTGTTACACTAAAAATATACGGACATATGTATGAATAAATAAGTAAATAAATAAAATCTGTCAATTTGTACATATGAATTTGAGTGTCTGTATATAAAAATAAATATTTTCTAGAAACAAAATCCTAGTCCTTATATGTCTATCCCAATCAAATGAGAGTATTTTTATTGGAAGATTGAAAGACCTATTAAGTTTTCACCCCCTTCAAATGTTGTGCCGGCATAAAACACGTCTCATTCCGAATTCATTGAATTCCTATTATTCAAAAATGCAGGTTGATAGTCCTACCATATTTTCAATTTTCTCTTCAATTATACTGGATTATACAAAGTCTGTTAAAAAAATAAGGTGAATTTTCTTTTTTCTCAAGAAATATATATTCATCAATCAATTTCTATTTTGTCCCTTTTAAACCCCCTCAGATATAATACACTTGTGACAGCTTTTTTTTCAATTCCCGAAGCAGTTCTGATATGCACTTTTTAATCAGCGATTCGATATTTATCTCCTCAAACGTCGCAAAACGCTTTCCTATCATGGGTCTCTACGACCTTGGAAATAGAAAAAAGTCGCAGGGGGCTAAGTCTCGTGAATACTGTGGTTGGGGCATTATTATACGGTGTTGTTTTTGGCCAAAACATTACCAACAAGCAATGTCGAGTCAGCAGGTGCATTACCGTGATGTGAAAGCCATGAGTTATTTTTCTACACTACCTGATGTTTTCTTCGTATCGTTTCTCGCAAGCGGTGCCTAGCTTCAAGATAATACTCCTTATTGACTAAACGATCAACTGGCAAGAACTCCTGATGCACTACGCCACAGTAATCAAAGAAAACAGTGAGCAAAACCTTGACATTTAATCAAACTTGGCGTGCTTTTTTTGGTCTTGGCTCTTCTATTGGGACGATTGGAGTTTGGTTTTGATGTCATAACCATATATCCACGATTCGTCACCAGTTATGATCCTGGATCGCCGTTGATGTCATTGAACAATTCCTCAACGATGCTCATGAGACGGTTTTTTTGGTCAAAATCCAGCAATTTTGGAAGGAACTTTGCTGCCACACGATTAATTCCCAATATTTATGTAAAAAATGCAAGGCATGAGCCAACCAATATGCAGGCATCCTAAACAACTTCTCCAATAGTGAATCAACAATATATATATTTTTATTTAGTTGAGAAACTAATTCATTTACAATAGTAAATACATTGTCACATTATAAATAAAAATAAAATGATATAAATATGAAAAAATAAAAACATTCGATTAAAAATACATATCTATAAATAAAAAGTTATATAAGAAAGTCATGCATAGGAATATACTATATTTTCATTAAGAAATCCTTCAATCGTCTTTTGAATATATTTATCGAACCACTATCTTTAATTTCTTGTGGGAGGTCATTTATGAAACAAAGAATTATGTGTACTATTTTTTAAATATTTTTCAACTTTTATATTGCTTCTGTTTCTAGTATTATGCCCATGTATTTCAGCCACATAAGTTAATTTATTCTGTAGATATACAGGTGAATATCCAATTTTGATTTTAAAAACAAAAATTAGTGTTTGGTACTCAAAGAGTTTCTTCACTGGTAACCATTGAAGGGTTTGCAACATATTTGCTATGGGTGTAAGATTATTCGCATACCACGATTATGCATCTTTTGTAGTCTGTTTATTTCATTTTGCCAATCAACATTTTCATTGGTTTGTTGGTGCCCACGAACTTTGAACATTCACCTTATTTTTTGAAAAGACCTTTCAGTTGAAGAATAGTTCACAAAATGTTCAAGTTTGTAAAACAGTGATTAGAATTTATACTTTATTAACGCCTCTATCATTTCTAAACTACTTGGGTTTGATGTATCATCAGCTCAATTTTCAAATCATCTGACAGCAAAACTCAAAGTTGAAAAACCATAAAATTTAGGTTTGTAATGAAACTGTAGGTCGGTAGCCAGTCGGATTGACGTGGGAGCTTTGCTCCACTCACTCAATCGACCGCTGTGTGAAGCGGTAGTTCAAGTTGCAAGCCGTACGATCGATTTTCACTTGCTATCGTCCAACTCGTGTTGAGAATCACACGTTAAAAGATAAGATCTCGTTAGTCCTTAGCTCGCACGAGTTTCGAATTCTAAGAGTGGTCGTTAACGGTTGTGGTTAACGGAAAAACCGATTTCAAACAGATCTAGGGTAGACCGAGGCGAATCGGATCCAAATAAGAAATCTTTGATAATTCAAATATCGCATTTACATAGAACGCACTAACCCAGCGTTTCCTGTCTCTCCATTCACCTCGCACCTCCAGACATGGGTAGTATTTCGATCGTGCTTGTGAATCAGTGTCGACGATGCTCATTTGCAACTTAGTCGTTTGTGTCACATTATGTATTTGGGTTGAAACTCAACTATATTGGTTAATATTGTTGAGCAAGGTGTGTATTTTAGAGAACATCCAAAGCGGTACGTAAAAGCGCGTTTGAATTTGCGGCAAACGCAAAACATAGAATACAAATTTAACAGAGGTGCTGGAATGGCTGGCCAGGACTGGTTGGTTTCATCGCTCCATGCAAAGAAATAAAAAAATCAATTATTCGGAAGCTGATTTTCTCCTAGGATTGCCATCTGGTACTGAAGTTGTCATGACAGAAAAGGGCTGGGTCACCAAATAATCTTTTTAAGTCATGGCTGCAACATACCCATCGCTATCGTTTTTGAAACCGTTCAAAACCTACCATCATCAACAAGCTACAGCATGGCAACACTCCCATCCGAATCAACAATTCACAAAAGTTGCTTTTGGAGCACTTTTCCAACCACTGTTGGCAATGCTACAAAAGACTTCAAAAAAACTGGAAAGACTGGAATATTTGCCACTAGACGCCAATGCAATACCTGACCTCAAGTTCATCTGTGATCAAGAGTCAGATACTGTGGAGTTCCAAGTCCAGTTCCCAAGTTCCCAACAAATAAAGCCATAAATGCAAGCCACAAGAAAGAAAGAAGATGAAGAATAAAGCAACACCTGGGATAAAAATTAAGAGTTCATCAGCAAAACAGAGAAACTGACAAGTACCCCAAGTCCACTCCAAGAGTTCCAAGAAGTGCATCCACAAGACCGATTCTCAAGTGCAGAACAAGTACAGTCAAAAATAAAGGTACAAGTCCAAGTCACAAATACAAAACCACTTGATATATTTCCATCCACAAGTTCGCAACAATCTGAAAAAGCCCAGCCTTTCACCTGTTCAGAAATAATTAAAAAAATCTTCCATCACCTTTGAAGTCACCATTTGCTTCGAAGAGAATTCGTGAACCTATGGGGGGGGGGAAGACCATATATATGTGATTTATGTCCTGATGATTAAAATTGATCTCATTATTAATTTTTACCACAGCAAGTATTAAGAAACTCAAAATTTAGTTACATGTTGTACACGATCCGATTTACCCCGAAAATTGGGGCGATTAGGATATTTTCCTTTTAGTTTTTAATAGCTAATCAAGAGAATATATAGATGATTTAAGTTTTCAAATGTTTATTTCATAGCTGAATATTACTTCTTACGTTTTCGTCAATTAAAATAACATTATATGTATAATTAACCTCAAAGAAAAAGTGACCCGATTCGCCTCGGTCTACCTTAGAATGAATTTCGAAACTAAATGTAACAAACTAAACATATAAAATGAACAAATAATTATCATATTTTGCCTCTTCTGGTAAATCTATCTAAATTGTTCTCAAGATCAGGCCAACACTATGAAATGAAAAATTAACTATTTAAACTTAACATTATACATTTAAAAAAAATCAGATTGTTAAATGCTATTGAAAAAAAATTCCCCACGAATATTATGTGTAGATTTGTTCTATTACAAAATAATGTAGGTACTATAATAGTTGGTCTTTGCTCCTACGATATGTTATACTGAAAAATAGCATTTTTCACTATCAAAAGTTTTATTATCCATAATGAAAAAAATCGCTATATTTTCCACCTCTACCATGTGTCTTATTTAAAAATCAACTTCAATAATTGAATTATTATGAAAATGACGGCAGACAAACGAAGCATACAGTGTTTATTTTACCTAAAGTAGCCCAGGCAGCGGATGAAGTGGCATCATTGATGGGTTCAATTTGAGGTTGTCTTCTGGCGAGTGAAACTTTCAACGGAATTCCTGATACCATGCTGCCATCCATCTAGAAATAAAATTATTAATACACGTATCCGTTTTTGGGAAACATACTTATTATTATGGATTTTTTTTGAGCATGTTCGTTTTTTTATCAGATGAATTTCATCGATTAATCATGAAAGCTGTCAAATGAGGTTACTGATTGGTTTACTGTAAATCCGATGAATATTATTTTCGGTTAAAAACATCTCCACAACTCCAATCATTATTACCAGATTTTCAGCCAATTTTCTACTTTTTAGTGGTGTATGAGACAAGCGAGCAGATATAAATTATTTAGACAAATCATTGATTTCATCTTGTTGCAATACTGATCAAATCAAATTATACTTTATTGTCCGAAGATTGGCATCTTATTGACAAAGTCCAAGAAATACAATGTTAATATAGAAAAAGTACTTAAAAATGTAGATATAAAAAAGTTTTAAAAATGTATAAATGCAAATATAAAAGAGTTCTAAAAATGTATAGATAAAATACCACCATGTATAAAGTAATAGTACAAAGAATAACTTGCTAATATATTGTTGAATTTGCTAAAATACTGTTCCAAACTATAATAGGGTCTATAAACGAGTAGGTTCTTCACCATCTTAGATCTACAGATCTCATTTCTAGTGGCAAATGATTGAACAACTTATCACCATTATAGTATATGAAATCCTTGATTAAATCCAAAGTTGGGATGGGAAGTCAAAAAGTATAATTGCTATTACAAGCAGCATAATGAGTAGAAGCAAAGTTGGACTTCGATTTATATTTATAAATAAGGCAAACCGTCTCTAAGATAAAAAGTGCGATGGCTGTTAAAATGTTATTGGCAGTGCTGCACGATTCTCTGGGTTTGACTTTACAGAGACATCTTAGTGCCCTCTTCTGTAATATCAATACAGAAGAGAGAAAGGATGAGTTGCATGCTCCCCAGAAAGGTAATCCAAAACGTAGTCGAGATTCAATAAGTGCATGGTAACAGTCTTTGCGATATGGAAACCCAACTCATTTGAAACCACTCTAACTGCATAACATCTGGAGGAGATCTTACTCTTGAGTTGTTTAAGGTGTTCATCAAATTTCAGCCTATTATCAATGAATACACCGAAAAATTTTGTGTTTAATTCATTTTGTAATATGGCAGCGTCTATTAAAATTTCATCAAGCGAACATTTGAATGATATTATATTCGTTTTGGATGCACTGAGAGAGGGGAAATTTGCATCGCACCAGCTCTTCACCTGCTTTAAGTCGGATGATATTATTTTATTTAGCTCCACTGAGTTTTTTCCTTTCCACAATATTGTAGTATCATCCGCGAATATAGTGAAACTACCAGATATGTCAATCATAGAGATGTCATTCATATATAGCAGAAATAGAATAGGGCCTAACACAGAACCCTGTGGTACACCAGATTCAATGGCCCTGTTCTCTGAGAGTTCCGTTATCCTTACCATTTGACTCCGACCTGAAAGGTACGATTTGAACCACGTGTTCGTTACACCTCTACATCCATATTTATGAAGTTTTTTTTTAGTAAAATTTTATGATTGACGTAATCAAACTGATACTGAATATAAATTCTCCCACCAGAAATTTAAGGGAATGAAGAAACAGTGATGAAAAGGTAACTTTGTTTCATGAATGCGTCATTTTCTACCGCAGCTAGTGCTCCAGTTGGAATATTTGAAAATCCTTTCTTATTGCGCATCTTTAACATAAAACGAACCTACATACAAAATATCAGTACAGTACAGAGAAACAGTGATGAAAAGATAATTTTCATCTGTGAATGATCCCTTTTTACCCCACTGGGGGCGCTTCAGTTGGAACTTTCAAAAATGCTATCTTAGTACGAGTCTAAGACCTAAAAAACACCTATACACCAAATTTTAGCTTTCTAGAACTTACCAGTACAGAGAAGCAAAGATGAATGAGTGTTAAGTGAGAAACTTACACATTTATAAGTATAGATATAGCCAATGTCATTTAGGTAGGTTAGTTAAACCAGTAAACAAAATTGTTACCTGAATCATCAATTCCTCATCTGAGATACTAAAATAATAATTATTCAACTTCCATAAAATATCAAAATTCATTTCATGCCAGAGGTTTAAATTCTGCCTATATTATTAGATATCTTGTCGCTTCAATCACACACCTTTCCAAAGTGAGAAGCAATTTATGAATTTGATATGTTGTCTAGTAGTGGCTGAAAATTGGGTAATATAATAGGTAAAAAATGTAAATAATAGTTTTTGAAGTTTCTTGCATCAATGACAGCTGTAAATATTTCAATTTGGGGCATGCACATTTTTTTGTGAGGTAAGCTCTTAGTTATTAGTTAAATGTTGACCAACTTTCTAGGCATAGTTCTCAGTCTCAGGAAGTGTGTTGCATAAACACGCTATAATATATATTTTACCTCTGATATTGACCTCTCAGCCGCATCCACCTTATCAAAAGTTATAAATCCTCGACTGTAATAAACAAAACTAGTTAAATTTTCAGTAACACAAACATAACATACTTTTTCTCAATTTCCATCGAAATATTTATAATTGTTCCCATGGTAGAAAAATGTTTCTTTAAGAACTCTTCGGTAATTTTGTACCCAGACACATATATGGTATTTCCTTGTCTGGGTTTGTCTGTCTTCTGTTGCTGCTGCTGCTGTTTTTCTGTGAGACCTCTTTCTTCCCTATCGCGAGCGTTTGCGAAAGAGTCATAGAGATTTTTTAATCTCGGTGGTTTGTTTTCCGGGTTGTCAGGGCCATCATCGCTTTGAACGGCTGAGAAAGGTTGGTATCCGCTAACGATTTTGTCGGAAATAAGCTTTCGCTCTAAGCCTCTTGGTCGCTTGAATCCTTGTTCAGGTTGCTTCTGTTGCTTGGATATGGCAGATATTACTCCAGATTTTATCAGTTTTTTAGCAACTTCTCTGGCATCTCTGGCTTCTGCAGGTCTTTTAGGTATAATGGGCTTTTCTGGTTCAGGTTTTGGAGCCTTTAGAGCTTGTAGAGCTTTTTTCTGAAATGGATGATGACTGATATTTGAAAAATATATTTATAATTCAGTACCTTCTTTTTTAGTTTCTGGTATTTAGCCTGCAGCATGAGTTCCTCTTCAGTATAATTTGCAGGAAAATGAATGTACACCATTATTATATTTTCTTGATTTAAGTATTATCAAAGTCAAGAAGTAAACAATATCCAACAATTAACCTTTTTATGACAATACCACAATAAACAATACCACAGAATACCTTACTTCCAGAAGGGACACTCATAACGGAACATATACCATGAAATTTTTGAGAATCTCAGGCTTGGGTTGATTCCTGTCATTTGGGCTAAGTATTGCGAAAGGTGCGGCCCATGAAGGTCTACACCTCTATCAAAAATCAAATCGTTTGCTTTCAAAAATGACTAAAATACAGGGATAGATTCATCTTAAGTGTGTCATACTGTATAATGAAATCAATTTTCATTTAAAAGTGAGAACATAATATTCCAAATTTTCAGTAAATTAAAATCTGAAATTCTAATCTGATGCGTGAAATTTGAAACCTCTGGCGTAAAAAGAATCCGTTGAAAAAAGTAAAGTAAATATTATCATGAGATGTTTAAAATTAACCTATTCAAAAATAGCTTGTGACAAAGAGCTATCAGTAAAAACCTGTTTTAAAAACAGATTAACAAAATCTTCGACATTACACTCTCCAATTTAGGATTGTTATTATCATTGAGTTCTGTATGAAATTGAAGAACGCCACTTGCTACCATCTCACAGTCTAATGGGCAGAAATTTGATTTCTAAAACTCTCTCAGCTTTTTTTTCTCCATCACTAATCTATCAGGACTGACACGTCATGTCCAGCGGATTCATCCATTTGTTATTGGTACAGGATGAAGAAAATAACTTTTGTCTCATTCCTACTAAGTTTTTTATTCGTTACGACCGGTTTCGGTTTATTAGACTATTCTGACTTGAGAATGGTCTAATAAACCGAAATCGGTCGTAACAAATAATTAACTTATTATCTTCATTATCCCATATTCAATATGAATTTCTACAAAATAAATGAGTCATCAATTGGACAAGTATTATTGGTATCAATTTATCATTTTTTGGAACATATTCATGAAACTACCGAAAATGTCAAAATTCTCCTTTGAGGCCGAACGCGGCAGAGGACGGTTGTGCTGATATAGACCGACCTCATAGATGGCATGCCGATGTCGTGATCCGAGTGGAGCCCAGAAGACATGTATATATTGAAATAATATAACAGTCGAATAGAGTTATAAGTACCGGCGCCAATTTTTAAGAACAACAAATGAGTATAACTGAATGGGTTCAAGAATGTTATGAAGTGATGAGGAATAGAAAAAAAAGAGATAACGGTGAAGAAGGCAGGATAAGAAAAGAAGAGAAATTTAAAATCTTGATTCTCAAAATTTGAGTTGTTAGTATATACAATCGCGTTTAGGTGGATATTTTCTTAATTTTTTAAATTTCGTTATCATTATTTCTGTCAATATTTTTCCTATTTTTCTTTTCTGGTTACATTCTACCGAATATTTCGATACTGATATTTTCAATAATGATGGTGTAGCCTATACGAAGTCAATTCGAGTCGCATAAAAGCTAAAATAGGTACCGAACGTCGGCATTTCCTTTGTATTACACTGGCAACGTGATATTATTTACGAATTCTAATCATTATTTTATATGTTGGAGGTTTTATATGGTATTAAGTAGTTAATTTTTCAGATCCGGTACATTAGTCTTTTATTTAGCTGTTCGGATTGACTTGTATAGCCTAGTTCTCTGGTTTACTGCGCTGAAAGGAAGCAAAGACCACAAAAAAAAGAAAGAGAAGAAGAAGAAAAAATGTGTTCTTCTTCTTCTTCTTGAGATGGGTTTGACATTTAAGGTCATTTAAGCAGAAAGTTTTCTGTTGACAGTTTATAAATAGAAATGTTATTTTGATTTTAACAAAGAATTGTTTTCATTTCTTTTCAAATCTTTTCAAGTAATTTAATGTTGAAAAATATGTTATAAGCAGTACATTAATATGCATTAGGAAATAATTTATTCACATTCAAACACGACGAAGCACGAGGAAACGGAAACAGTAGACGTGAAAAAACTGCAGATGGTAGTTTAATTCACAGTGATAGATAAATAATGTGTGATAATTCGACCAGTGATATTTCAATCTCGAATAATACAACTTTTCCAATGGGGTCAATAGCTTCTACAAAAGACTCTGTATGCGAAACAGCAGAGGAAGCAGTTACAACTGATTCTGAAGAATGTTCTTCAGAGTTGAGGTAATTGGTTAAACATTCATAGTCCAGGTATATGTGACGAATATCTTGTACTTGATTTTACAGCAACAGTTTCTTTATTAGTGTTTTTTGACTTTACAGATATAAGAATTTTGACCGGCCAGCACAATCAACTACTTCTAATGCTACGTTAACCGATAATATGACAAGTGATGAAGAGAATGATAACTTTTACACAATGAATAGAAATATTTCTTGGGACAATATTCAGATACCTATAGTTGGATATGAAATAATGGAAGAAAGAGCTAGATTTACAGTAAATATGCATCTACTTAAGGTGGATTTAAGCACTATTCTAGAGTTGTAAGTCACAAGAGTTGAGAAATTGTAGGCAGTTAATCATTAATATTCAGACTGTATCCAAGATAAGGAATTCCGAATATGTGTAATACATTAGTGAACTTTTTATGAAAATTGCTAACTCATAGTGGTATTCTTTTTTTGCGGTCTATACAAAAAAGTACAAGTGGTGATGGTATCTCTGAGACAAAATGTTGGACTAAAAATATGTTAAAGCCATGCAGCATGACAAGTGGCAATCAGAAAGTGTTTTTTTATTTTCAATAATTTCTTAAATAACAAAATCAAAATGAATTTGACAATCATTCAATGAACAAAAACAACTTGTTATAATATGAATGATACTTAGTGTACAATTAGTTTTTTCTGGTGATTTGATTTCACAATTGTTGGATATATTCTTATGGTCCTTTCTGATAGGTTGAAGGTGAGAAGACACAGCAGAAAGTGGAAAAGTACCAACTTGTTACTTTTCCGTACCAAAGTTACTTAAAAACTGTTGGTAATTGGCAAATATTCACTTTAACTTTTATACTATCAACTGTTTTCATTTGCTTATCATATATTTGAAGTCAAATCTTGATATTCTGGTCTACTTTTGGAGATATAGTACCTGTAAAATATGTATTCAAATCAATCTTGGAAATGGTAGGAAAGTAATGTTTATTCTATAAACTGACAAAATTGAATTTGAAAACTTATTTTTGTTACTGAAAGTGAGTTCTTTAAATACTTAATATTTTGATTTTCGGATGGCTGTATCTGCGAAAGTAGATTCATGATTAGTAAATCTAATAATACAATTTTTCAAAAAGCGGTGCAAGCCATTGAAACAAATAATAACCCTTTGAGCTTTTAGTTGGCCAATATGATTTCTTGGAAGTTAAAACGAGCAACTTACAACTTGAAATTGGTGCATGAATCTATCTTTAGGAATTGCTTGTCATATCCGAGTAAAAGAAAATTGTTACTTCCAGGTCTACAAACTGAAAGTTGAAAATAAACTGACGGGCGACTTCTGGTATGTATTTCGACGATATACAGATTTTGTGAGGTTGTGTAACAGACTCAGGGACAATTATCCAGATGTTACTCAACACTTGCCCAGGAAAAGATGGTTGAAGAACAATTTCGATCCTATATTTCTAGACGAGAGGGTTAACCGTTTGCAAACTCTTGTGAATGCCATGCTGAACGAACCAGATTTGATTTGTTCACAAGAAATACAGGACTTTTTTTGTTTAAATGAACCACCAGTGTATTCGGAAACAAGTGAAGAGTCTAAGGTTAGTTTCTTATATTTTCTCCTTTTTATTTTTGTACATAAAAAAAATGCGAGAATCTTCCATAGAAAGGAAGAAAGCAGTTAATGCCAAAGAAAACTCTTCACAAAGATGTGTAGCTCATGCAAAGAAGTAACTTTCAGACACAAACTGGAAGAAATAAGCCCTCTCGAAACAGGCTACTTTCCTATAAACATTGAATTAAAAAGAAAAAAAACATTTAATTGTCCAAACAGGCATTGGACCTAGTTATAGGACATGGTATACAATTTTGGGATGAAAGTGTTAAATATAGGAAATATATACATATAATTTCATGGAATATTTGAAAGGAAAAAAAACAAGTAAGTGTTTGATGATTTGCAAACATAATAGACAGTTTTGGGATGAAGGTGTTGAATATAGGGAATATAAATAATCCTAACAATAATACCTTCATGGAATATCTCTTTTCCTAATATATTCAATGGTTTTGAATAAGTGTCTACTTTCTGACAGACTTGATTCAATTAATCACTTTGCAAATAAGGGAGATATCAATAACATATTGGTTCTTGGTGTTGGAAGATAAAAAACATTGTTCAGTTCTACCACTGATTCTTGGCACATGTTACTCTAGTTGAGACAGTAGTTTTGATGAATTGACAAGATTGATCACCAGTTTGTATAAGAATATGCAAGGAGGGACGAATTATACGAAAGAAAAAATACTCTCTAAACAACTACTTCTATATGAACATTGAATTATACAAAAAAACCATATACGAGTAAACACTGTGCTATCATTGGCTAATAAAAATTATTATTGATATTATTGTAATGAATATTTTTTCCTTGGAAAATTTATGCACAAGCTTTGACCTGAACAGTTATCGTGTCCTGCCTTTACTTTCTAATAACTTTAAAAATCTTTTAATTTTATTTTACGAAATACTTGATTGAACGATTATTTTTAGGCTATTTTTGAAGCTTTGGAAGAAACCATTACGGACCTCAAGCAGCAGATACAAGAAAAAGATAATTCATTAGATAAACTACAAACTAAGTTACATTTGTTAGGAACGGAAAATGAAAGTTTACGCAAAGTAATAAGGTATGCTATTATTCAGTCCTGTTTTAATAATTTGTATTACGAGTTAGAATGAGGCTGATAGGCTGATAAACAACACATGGAAATTTTTGCAGATTATTGCACAAAAATGTCCTGCAAAAAAATTAATGTTTTCCTCCTGCAAATAGTTGGGACTCATTTGAACAGTTTCACAAGAAACTTCTGACTTCTCAATTTTTCTTCAGTGTGCTTATACAATACACAATTTTTTATGTGAAAACCATGAATAATATGAAAAAAAATCAAGAGAAAGTATTGACTTTTTGAAAAATTATTTTACTTTGAGAGAAAGCAGTGGTGTGCAATTTTTCTTTTCAAAATAATTCAGTACACACGAATAGTATTGGCATGAATGAATTATGTTGTACGTCAAAATTGCCTTTTGATGCATAGAAGAGGCATACTTTTCACACAAATATCTAGGGTCACACCAAATTTATCATAAAAAAATTGACTTGAAACTAGTTTGAAAGTTGAAATCTTGTTTTTTTTCAAACCTTTAGGACATATGTTGATATATAATTCTTTTTCTCAACTTTGATACAAAAATAACCTTGAATATCAGAAACCCAGTCACTGTCTCTTGTGGAAATTCTCGTAACGGTAGTGCGGGACCCTGATGTGATGGATCTCATTTCCCTAGCTATTAGTGGCTCTTTTCATAGACCCTGAAGAGTCTAAAGTAATCAAAGAATCCATCCCTGAGTCTTGAGAGATGAACATTGACTGTAACATAAGATGGCATTGACCATAACATCAGATCGACAGTGAGAGCTTCTCAAGTTTTAACAGACAGGAGGAGTAAGCAACTCATTGCCTTCTCAAGAGCAGAATATCTTCTGATGAATCCGCTTCACACCAGATTATTGAATAGTAGAACAGAATATGCATCAGGGAGAAATCAAACTCTCCGTGTGCAGGTCAACAAAAACTTATATTTAAAAGATGAAAAAGTCCTGCATGACTGAATCTAATGTATCGTAAGGTAAAGCTGACTCATGGATGCCCTCATACGGAAAGTTTTGCAGTGAATAACGTAGGACTCTTGAGGTTTGAATATGCCACAAACTCAATATTGACCAATTAATTTGAATCACTTCAGCATGCCATGACATGTTATGCCTCTTTTGTTCGATTTCTCAAGAGCTTTTGACTGTCTAAGCATAAAATTCATTAGAAAAACTTAATTATCTGGGTATAAGAGGTGTCTTGTTAAAATGGTTTGAATCTTATTTTTTCCACAGAAGTAATCTCGTCAAAGTAGAACAACAATTATCGAATGAATGCACTACTTCTCTTTGTGTTCCCCAAGGATCTGTCTTGGGATCCTCAATTTTTCTTCTTTTTTTAAACGATATTCCCAATCATATTAAAGCGGGACAAGTATCAATGTTTGATGATGACACAACAGTTACAGCCTGTGGAGAAACCCTTGAAGAATTGCACAGTATGAAATAAAACAATGATGTCAAAAAAATCGACTCATTTTAAATACTGATAAAACAACCTGCATAAATTTCTATATAAGAAAACCAGTTACAAAAACCTTTTATAAAAATCTAATATTTAGTGACAGCATCAAGTTACTTGGGACATGGCTTAACTCATACCTTAGTTTCTCCTCCTAGATAGACTTCTTTTTTGTAAACAACTCAATAAAGCATACTATGCAGTTCTTCAGATGAAAGCAGTTTTTGACCAAAAGGGATTGTTGAATTTATACTATGCATTTGCATATAGCCATATATCGAATAATATTGCAACATGGGGACTGGCTACTGAATGTAAAAGAGTTTTCACTTCTCAAAAAAGAATAATTAGACTATTATTTAGTTTGGAATACAGAGAGTCATGTAGGACTGTCTTCAAACAATACTCTATTCTGCCCTTCCATTCAATTTTCATTTTAAAATGTGTAACTTTTTTTGAAAAGTAACATTTCTGACTTCAATGTGTTAGGAAGTCATCATAACTACCCATCAAGAAGTTCTATATTGGAAATACCAAAACATAAAACTGCAACATTAAAAAAGTCTACATTTTATAATTGCATATTTCTTTATAACAACTTGCCAAAATATATTCTGGAAAATAGCTTCCGTTCAATAGAGGAATTTCTGGCAATGCAATCCAAACACTGAATGTTCACCGAGTAAGTTTTTTTATGTTCTCGGGATGACTATTCTTTCTCCACTCTTCAAGACTTCAACCGCAAAGTTTATGGCGAACGTGTATTTCAGTGTCATGTGATCTGAGAACATGTTTGATGTTCGCTCTACCACATATTCCGAAATTTTTGTTATGCCTAATTCCATGGAACTAGGTGAGTTTTTCAGCATGAATTGGCCCACCCTTGTTTCTTCCATTATTACAAGATGTAAAGGAGGAATATTCGCTTGAAATTTTTGGAATAAGAGGTACAGCCTTAAACTTATTTAATTCATACTTAACCAGAAGGAAACAAGCCGTCTGCACAAACGGGGAATTATCTGTAGAGAAAGTAGTTTCCCATGGGGGTCAATCCTTGGACCTATACTTTTTGTAATACATGTGAATGATATTTTTCAAAGCCTACTACCTAGCAGAGTCATCTGTTTTGCAGATGATACAACAATGATTCACTCTAACTCCGACATAAGTAAACTACTCGACAAGATCAATGAAATTGAAGAAAAGACTGTAAACTGGTTTACTTCCAATAATTTGAAATTAAATAGGGGAAAAATTTAACAAATAGTTATCTCTTCAAATAATAGGGTAACCACGCAGAAGCACGTAAAATTATTCGGTATAATCATTGACGACTCACTTAAATGGGAAAATCATATTGACTTTCTATGCAAAAAATTGTCAACTCAGCTCTACCTTCTTCGCCAGCTGAAAAGATTTATAAGTACCAATACATTACTAACTGCGTATTACTCACTATTTCACTCCCATTTAATGTATGGAACTCTCTTATGGGGACAATCTTCTCATGCTCAAAAGATTTTTCGTATGCAAAAAAAAAGCACTTAGAATAATAGCTGGAGCTTCATTCAACGAACCATGTCAACCTATCTTCATCTTTTACAAAATTCTGCCTTTGCCTTGTATATTTATTTTAAACACTTTGTTAGAGATCCATAAAAAGAAAAGTATATTCTCCACCCAATCAGACTATCATAATTATCCCACTAGAAATGCAGATAAACTGAGACAACCGCTGAATAAACTAGAAATGTCTACACGAAATTCACTGGACCTCAAGTTGTACAACCATTTACCAGTTGACCTCACTCAGCTCATTACTTCTTCGTTCAAGAGGAGAGTTAAAACATTCCTTTTAAAAAACTGTTATTACTCAACACAGGATTATATGAATAGTACTTACAGTTAAAGATTAACTCACTTAATATTACTTTTCTATATATATGTTGCTATGTGATGTTCTGCAGCACCAATATTTTATTCTACCTAGCAGTTAGGTTTTATTTCAAGTGATCAATAATAATTGTATATTATCTTTTAATTTTGTACCCAGTACAGCGTGCATCTGCACTCTTTTTGACCTGTCATAAATGTATTTATTGTATGCATAACATGATTGAATAAATTCTGTCGGTCTGTCAAAAGTGTCTCCATTGCAGTTGTTGGATTAGTTTTCGTTGCTTCCGTTATTCCCAAACATGCAAGTCCTTGCACCCTGCTTAGTTTGTTGATAGCAGTTGTTTGTTTCATCTTTGGTTACCAAACCATAGATGCATATGCAATTATAGGTTTAACCACCATGGTGTAGAGCCAAATTCATCATGTCTGATTTCAGCTCCCATGTTTTTTTATATTTGCATCTTGCCAGCATCAGTGATACCGCCTCATTTTCTTCCACTCGTAGATATTGGTTTCAGGTCAGCTTGGGATCTTGTATCACTACCAGGTATTTGACCTCCTCCGACAGATGTATTCCTTCACCTCAAAGTTTTAGAGGTTCTCAGCCCTCTGTCTTGGTTCCCTTGGTAAATGCTACTATGGCCGTTTTCGTTGGGCTATTATAATATTCTAGGCCTGCTGCATGCGCCCTCCCCCCACTATATTATTATATTTGCCCTGGATTAGGTTGACTAAGTCGTCTGCATAGCCCATTACTTTATTTCCAATATGGTCCAGAAGACGTAGTAACTCGTCCATTACAAGGTTTCATAACAGTGGCGACAACCCCCCTCCTCCTCGTGCCCCCATGATGGTTGCATATACCAATCTTCCTCTAAGCATACACTCCATCAACCTGCTACCTATGTCATCGATCTTGTTCTTGTAAACATATTCTGCTTTTTCTGTGCCCCGGTAAAACTCCATTTCTGTTGGCATACCTGGCCAGTATGCATATTGGTCTCGAAGCAGTGGTTTGTTAGACAGTAGTATTTCTCTAATAAGTCTTCTGTATTCAATACAAATGATATCAGACTGATTAGTCTCGAGACCTTCGCAAATCCTGTCCAATTTTCTTTCGTTATGAAGCTAGATTTAATCAGTCTCCATGTTTTGGGTATGCATTCCAGCCAGACTTCATTCAAGGATGAGCAGAATTTCTGGCTCTTTTTGTAGTATTACTAAATGGATGTCATCTGTTCCCAGAAACCCATGGTTGATTTTTATTTACAGTTATCTCCAAACTTACTACTTTCTTTGCCACCAGCATGTTCATAATCTCACTTTTTCAGCTGCAGCTTCCACAGTATCAAACCTGATTACTTTCAATGCTTTCTCCAGTTTTGGGAAAATAAATGAGTCACAAGGACCTAGATTTGGTAAGAAGGGTGGATTTGTGATGCACTGTTTGGAACGTTTGGTGGAGTTTTTTCCCAACACCCAACCGTTATTTTAACACCTCGACACGTGTTTCGATCACCAAGTGATCAGCTTCAAGTGGATGTTCTAACACAGGGATCCTATGCCTGGCCAAAAATGACTGAACAATCAGTGCAGTGAGAGAGAGCATTGTCCTGATGAAGCATCCATAACTTGTTTTTTCATAACTCTGGTCACTTTTTCTGTACTTGCTCAACGAGAGAAGCTAGAATCTCAAGTTCAGCCACAACTGTGAAATATTATTTTTAGTTCTTATAGTTGGAGCTGGATAGCCTTGAAGGCTAGAGATTAATGATTTTAAGATTTAATTCTTTCACACTTTTGCTTCGGAGTGTAAAATATTGTTGGAAATTCGAATGGAACTGGCTGATACTTGATTGAAATCCATATAAAAAATTACTGATTCAGTTAGATTACTATGAAAGATTTATAATCGCGGCACATATTTCATTATGCAATAAACAGCTTCTTTCTCAAGCAGGAATTGATGCTTGCACTTCCTACTTGAGGAAGCTATTATAAATTTCATTAGTTTGGACTTCCATTGTCTAATATGATATAAAATGATTTGAAATACCTGAAAGAACCAATACAGTTGAAAATTAAAATCAATAGCCGAAAATAACAATTATATTAAGCAAAAAAAACCTGAAATGAAATTATAATGAAAAAGCAAAAAATTAAAAATTTCAATGATCAAACAAAAAAAGGAAATAAAAATTAAAAGATTATAGCCAAGTTACTTCACGTTTTGATTGTTAGTATCCACAATCGTGTTTGGGTGATGACTCTAATGACTAATGAACCATCTTCAAACAAACAAAGCTATTATAGTTTTTCAAAAAGTGTACTGTACAAGAAATAAGTGACATTCTTTTTTTTAATATTCCTTACTTTAAGTTGTATACTCAAATCTCAATGTAAAAACTTGCAACGTATTAAGGTGATCAAGATTTGAAAACCAAGTGCATGTTTAATCAAATGTGTGAAAAAAATACATTTCATAAATTTCACTTGATGCTTTCTTATAGTATATTAATGCCTTTTTTTTCAACTTTTCCAGGAATTCCATGATGAATTGTTCGAAGTGTCAAAAGGAGTGTGAAAATTTAACAAAACTTGCGAAATGACAGGACCAAGGTTATTGAGACCATTGAGTAGCTATATTTAGCTATATTTATATTTTGTGATAAATTGTTGACATAGTTTTAAATTTTATATCAGAATTTTTATGATTGTGATCAAACCTGATCCAAGACTAAGATGTCTTATGTTATTTCCATAGATATTTTATAAAATATTTCACCCAAAAATTTAGTTTTTTATTAGTTGGTATCTAATGATGACATCTGCGTTTCGTCTAGTGAACTACTGAGCAGTGATTTACAAATATAAAGCTTCATATTCAAGACTTCATTTGCAGCACATATTTAACGTAATTAGAAATTAAAATAGGTATGTCTTCACTTTCATCAGTGAAATATTTTTATTTTAAAGATATTTATCAATACATATAACAAATAGTTGATTATTGTCTGTTTGTCTACGCAATTGTGTGCACTATTCTCCAAAGTGACTGAACCTATTAAGGTGAGGTTTTCATCAATGTATTTTGATAAGGTTCACTTGACATTTAAGGTCTCTGGCCACTATACGGTATCAACCATGGCCGTGCTAGGACCGTATCAGACACGGAAAATAACATGACACTGTCTACCTTGGCCACTGTACTACTCGACAATTGGTATTGGTAGCTATTATTTTGAACGATGAAGAAGCAGAACTCAAAAAAAGACCTGACGCTATTGGATTCACGACTCTTCAAGATAACAAGAAAGTGAAGCAGAATATTGGACATTATTTAGACATTTAGTTGATGATGAGGAAACATTTTTTCAATATTTTTGAATGTCTACATTTCAATATAATGTATGGCTGAATAAAATTGAAAGTGATTTACAACCCATTTATACACCGTTTTACTATCGGAGACCTACGGTTTAGCAACGTTACGTGCCATGCACGTTGCGTATCAGCACTGGCAAAATATTTTCGACTCGAATACTGTGATGGCACGTGCATGCTACGCTACGTGCCGGGCCGGCAACGGAACTGTCTAGTAGGCGTTGGTTCATATAAATTGTACGAAAAAATATTTTTATCATGTGCCGGTACGTTTACGGTCATGGTTTGGTACGGTATAGTGGGCAGAGACCTTTAGTGTTCCATTGATTTCAATCGGTTCATAAACAAAACATTTGTCAATTTTCAGAATCACATAAAAATAAAAGTATAGAAATACAGTTCAGTTGATTTGTTTGAAATTTTAGTTAATTATATCCATAGTTTGTTAAACAATTATCTTATAAATAAAAAAATAGTTGAATACATAAAAACTTTTCCAGTTAGAAAATGTAGGAAAACCTAAAAAATAAAAGTCCATGTGATCAAAGTATGGGTAACAGCTATAAAAAATATATTGAAATGTTTGGTAAATCATTTGTGAAGAGAGAGTTTAGTTTGTTATTTCAGCTGTAGAAGCTTAACACTTGTAATAAATTTTCTAGAAGTTCAAGTAAAATCTGAATGATATGCTCACCTTTATTTAACGAAGTACGTTGCTCATTTGAATATTATTGAAAATTTGTACAGGAATTCACACAGTACATATAATAAAAGTTCAGCTGATGGCCAACTACGACTGTACGTGAAAGATATTTGAGAAAAAAACTTTCATTGGGTATCTTCAATAGATGCAATAGATTCCAAAGCAATGACATTCAGAATTTTTGTCTGTGTTTGTGTGCGATAATCTCAAAAACCGATTCCAAGCTAGAATTTCTGTGATTATTTCTAGTTCAAGCGAATTTATGTATACTAAATGTTCAGAAATTATACTAACATTTCATTTGGTTCCTACTATATATATCTAGTAATTTTACTGGCACGTTTTAGTAATATTGCTGAGAAATTTGCTCTTTTTAATTTGAATGAATTGGTATGGCGGCCATGTTTGTTCCCGCCATTATAATTTTTTTGTTGAATTCTTTTCTTAATATCCATATCATAGGGATGCATAAAAACATAGTCCACCAACTTTGGGAATCTGCTATATTGAATTTAGTTGATTTAGTTGATCATGCATCATAATCCAATCTAAACATGTATGCAAACTTTTAGCTCAATCAGTTGGTAACTGCTTTGTAAATCTTATTTATTTAATTTATTCACCATTGAAAATTTTACAATTGCATTCCATGACACTTATGAAATTTTACCAGACTAGTCAAACCTGAGCACTAAGTAGGCTATATATAAAATATAAATAGATACATACATGTACATTAAAAGCATAAAAGTTTAGCATAAGAGTTTAAAAATTCTTGCACAGAATAAAATGCATTCTTTGTTAGGAGGAGGTAGTCCTAATTCGTTACTCCTTTGTGTGTTGTAGTTATAGCAAATAGTATTTTTTTGTGTAGATAGCTTCATTTGTTTTATATTTTGGGCTACTACATATACAGTGCTTTTCTTTAATGTCCCCCCCCTTTTATGTTTTGAACGGGTCAACTCAAAAATTCAAATTTGGGAAAATGAAATTAATGCATAAATATTTTATTTTGAAGTGAAGTTGAGAGATTTTAAGATGGCGTCTCTGTGCCATCTGGGAAAAAAATTAAATGGAAAGGGGGGTCTTTTTGAAGCTCCTGACAAGTGCTTCACAACCCTAGAATGTAATGTCAAAATCTTCAACTACTACAAAATAGCGAAAGTTTTAATAATTGCCTGAATTCATTGACATTTAACTACATAATATGAGGTAATAAGCTTGCTTTCAGTTCAGAAGATGCTCGAAATGGTTGCCTTGAACTTCTTGACATATGAACAGCGTATCCAATATTTCACTCCTAATATTTTCGAACACTGTAACAAAAAAAATAAAATAAAAACCTAATCAATAAAGCAGTTTATGCTTGAGGAAGCTGCTGTATAGCGAAACAGGTGTCGCGGTTTTTGTAAAACCCTTTTATAGTGAAAATCATACAATAAACTATATTGATTAGTTTTTTTAATATGGATTTTCATCAAGTATCGGCCAGTTGTAATTCAATTAACGAACTCAGTAACGTCAATATCTCTACAAATATTTATTATTCTCTGCCGTATATCCAATATTGAAGCAGGTTCAGTTTCGTACACCTTTTGCTTCAAATAGCCCCATAAAAAAGTCCAAAGGTGTCAAATCTGACAATAAATATTGTGGAGATATGTAGGATGCCTTCCAATAGTTTCCGTCATGATTTCGCAGAATTCTGTTCTTCGATCAGGGTCATCAAACAAATGTGTTTGTTTTCAGAAAATTATTAAATGTTCCGCCATTTTGTAGTAGGTGAAGATATTGACTTCATATTCTGGGGTTGTGAAGTATTCGTCTGGAGCTTCAAAATGATGTGTCACAAGATCCCCCTTACCATTTAATTTTTTTTCCCAGATGGCGCCCAGTCGCCATCTTGAAAGATTCATCTGTCAATTCTACTTCAAAATAAAGTATTTATGCATTAATTTCATTATCTCAAATTTCAATTTTTTTAATTGACCCGTTAAAAAATAAAAGGGGGGGCATTAAAGAAATGCACTTTATGTACAGGCAGGACATAAAGACAGCTGAGTAAATGTGTTCTCACATAATTCTTTATAATGAAGTCCAGCTAGGCGTCTTATCACTTTTTTTTTAGTTTAAATGCTTTCATGACACTAGCTGAGTCTTCCCAGAAGGGGACTACACAAGTCCATAGTATACTAATGTTAGCACTTCCAGCGAGAAAGGTCCATGTAACTGTTTTATCACAAAACATATGTCTCTCAGTTTTGTTACTATATTTTCTGTGTGTACTTCCCGTGTTAGTTTTTAATCGATGGTTAGACCTAAATATGTGAAGTGACTTACGTTCTCAATTAACCTGCCATTCATTTTTATAAGAGTACAAAAATCAAAGGAAATGTTTTTTGCTGGAAAATCATAAATACGGTTTTGGTGACATCGACTGTCAACCCATTATTCTTACACCACTTGGAGAATTCATGTGATATCGCATTTGCTGCTTTTACGGAAATAGATAACTCATTTTGTGCCACTATTTGAGTTGTGTTATCTGCATAGATTATTGTTTTTTGTTGTGACATATTTGAATTTTCTATATCACTCATGAATAGTACCTATAAAAAGAATTGGAGCCAGGGTTGAACCCTGCGGAACTACTATTGAAACAGAAGCATCATTACCACTTGTATCCTATTTTTTATATATGAAGCAAGCCAGTTATTGGCAGCTCCCCTGATTCCTATTCTAAGATTTTCCAGGAGTAACCTATGATTCACCGTATCAAATGCTCTAGTTAAATAAAAAAAATAAGCCAACTGAAATTTGCTTGTTCTGGTATCTGTAGAGTAGGGAGAGTGAGTGTAAGCCCACACACTTAGGCCACATGTGACCCATAGTACATCCTCCCGAGGAGTTGTCCTCCTAGGCCATCGTCCATCCTGTCCTTTCCAGGAAGGTGAACAGGTCACTAGGAGACATCTACTTTATATTGGCAGGTGTAGGCCAAGACTCGCTGAACACACATTCTCTTTGGCAACCTTGAGGCGTCTCACGGTGGAATTTGCTTGTTATTAAGACATTAAACCCAAACAAACATACATATATACAACCAAACATCACAAGTTAAATAAAAAGTCACCCAGCAACGGCCATACCGCCTTGAAAAGTGCCAGTTTGTCCTGGGTTTTTCATAATTTTTTTCCAGGATACCAAACAAACACAGCGACAGTTATAATGACCTTTGACTGATCTAAATATAGTGTCCTTGAAATGGTGTGCATAAGCCTTGACAGGAGGCACACGGCCAACGGACATAGGTGATCTGCATTTCTGCCCCCCTAACGTCCCCCGCTAACATCGCGGGGGACGTTCCCCACCGTCTCTTCTCTGGTAGAGGAAAACCTGAAAATGCAGATGTGTGAATATGAGATCTTAATAAAATAATTTTTTTTTTTTGAGTTCTCGCCCCATCGCTGAAAAGCCAAGCTATACTTTTCGTGGCGGTTCGCGGTGAATCATGTGTTTGCTGGCTGAGATATCGGTCAGGGCCGGCTTCAGATTCGTTACAATATAGAACAACTCTTTAGTATGATAAATTGATAAAGGGGGGTTGGAGGATTATCTGTAACGTTACATGGCTGACGGACTGCGAATAGCCATGATGCTCTGAAGATGGCTAGGGGAGTTATTAATATGACCTATCTAGAATAC